AGTCGGGTGTCGGGGGGGAAGACTGCGTGTGGGGGGGGAAAAGATCGAAAGTCGGGGAGGGGAGGTTGCGCGGAAGCGGGATCGGAGTCGCGACGAAGAAGAAGAAGAAGGAGAAGAGGAAGAAGATAGGAAGAAGAAACGAACGAAGAGAAATAAGGAGAAGAAGAAGAAAAGAGTAAAATAAAAAAAATAAGAAGGAAAATTGTCGTCGATTACTTATCTGCGTGGAGGTAGCAACGACGATGACGAGGATGGCACGGCACGGCGACGAGGATGGCACGGCACGGCGACGAGGACGACGGGCACGGCGATGGTAACGTGGCACAACGACCACATTCGCGACGGTGACGATGATGACGTGGCACAACGAGGACGATCGCGACGATGATGATGTCGTGGTACGGCCACGACCAACGCGACGATGATGCTGATGTTGTGGCACGATGGCGATGGTCTCAATGATGACGATGATGACGTGGCGACGACGATCTCGATGATGACGATGATGAGGTGGCACGCGACGATCGCGACGATGAAGCCGGGAGGGTTGGGCGGGTTCGAACCACTCCGATACCAGTGTGACGGGCGCAAGGCTGAGGGAGACAGGGAGAGCCGAGGGAGAGGGGAGAGAGAGGGAGAGAGTGAGAGCACACACACACACACTCACTCACTCGACACGACTCAGGGTCGGACGCAGACACAGTGGCAAGGACACAAAGTCGAAGTCTTGGATTCCGAATGTCGAAAACAGGAGCAAGTCCCACTGAGTACGAGTACAGCAGCTGAAACTGGTACGAGACCGGTCCCCGTACCTTACGGGGAGCCGGTATAAGTACCGGTGACACGTACGGTACCAGGGGCATTTCGGCAAAAGCCCCGAGGGCAGAACTGAAAAATGCGGCATGTGAAAGTGGCGCCCGAATTGCATTATGGCGCCAGTTGTCCAAAATCCGACGGTACCAAAGGAGGGGTTTGGAAAAAGGGTGCCAGGCCAAAAACGGGATGCAGCAGAAACAGCAAAAAGTAGACCAGGGATCGAGCCCTGGCGGAGTCCGTAACACACGTACACCCAGCACCATACAACCAAACTTGCCGGCCGACCTAGGATGGCCATAATCTGGGAACCCGCTCTGATACCAAATGCGAGGAACCAATCAGTCGGAATGCAAATTTTCCGAGGTGCAAAAGACTCAAAGGATGGCAACTTTCACAAGCATATATGAGCAAAGTCGAAAGCAGACTTACAAAGCTGAGAGCACACCAAACAAGAGCACACTGGGCATCAAAGTCGTTGGCAAAGGAACCTCACTTCTTGCCTCCAATGATCAATACAACAATGTTGCAGCTCTACTATGATGTGACAGCCTATGCTATTCTGCTTCTCTCTCCCTATCGACTCTCTACTTCTCTCCCTCACTGTGTGCACTATCCACTAGCCCCGCAGTGCTGCAGAGTCTGACTACTACGAGTGTGCTCGTTGGCCATCACCAGGGAAGTACCACCGGTCCACACTGCTGTCCCTCTCGTGATAACCCTCCCCTCCTTCACCTCCCAGTGCAGCTATGGCTGCCGCAGGGCGGAGCAGCTACCTGCCTGTGGCTTCTCCCACTTCCTTCAATAAGTGCTTACTGGCCGCACGAGTGCGCTCTTGGCAGAGATAGCTGGCAGCCAATGCCTCCGAATTTGTGGAATGCAGCTTCCTCCTCCCTTTTCTCACTTTCTGTAGACGGCATCTATTTGGACAGGAACTGGGAAGACTGACAACCTTCTGGACTGAGTACTACCGTCTTCACCCGAATAGAACGCACGGTCATTATAGCCGTATTGGTGCACTTTTCAGTCCAGATACAGCTATAATAACCGGGCGTTCTATTCGGGTGAAGACGGTAGGGTCCCAGCCTCTGCAACTAACTGAGAGGCAGGGCCTACTGGTTAGTTGGAGAGGCTGAGGCCTACCGTCTTCACCCGAATAGAGCGCCCGGTAATTATCCCTGTATCTGGACTGGAAGTTGCCCCAAATACAGCTATAATGACCGGGCGTTCTATTCGGGTGAAGACAGTAGCCTTCTTTTCCAACTGTACCATGCCAGCCTTCACATAGAGCAGGCTCATTTTGGCTGCCATGGCCCTTCTCTTAGGGCCAGGCGGAATTGACATGGGCAGCCTTTTTTGTGTAGCACGCTGCCGAGGTTTGAAGCCTAGTCAAATACACCAGAGATTTTGCAAGTGAAAAAAAAGGGAAAACATCATATCATAATGCACCCTATGCTTTGGTGCCAAATTGGTGGTAATTATGAACTGTGGGTTACCTGTGGGTTTGCTTCCTTGAGCAGGACAAGGTATTCCTATCAGCCAAGGAGGCCAACAAAGAGCCGCTATGGTGCAACCTCCAGTGGGTACGCTCTTTACTCCACTTTTATGCTTTGCATGCATGTGTTTTTCTGCATCCATTTGATTCCATCCGTCCATAGTAACTTTGTACTCATGGTGTGTTCATCAACAATTGTATGTTTTTTCACTGTGTTAGTATTATCTGCAATTAAGTCAGCCACACAGAATGGGCATTGCATGCGCATGCTCAATGTTCTGTGAGCATTTTGTGGTTGTCCGGAGCATCATGTGAGCAGGTTATTTTTCTCAGTCTTTCATTTCCCCTCCTCACTGCTTTCCTCCATTACTCACCACCATCACACCAAAAGCAGAACTCTTCAATGCCTGAAGCAGACATTTTAGCGAGGCAAGTTTCTGGTCTTCCGTCTTCACCCGAATATAGAAGGCATAGTCATTGTCGCTCTGCTTAGGCTGAAAGCTGCCTCAAATACAGCTATAATGACTGTGCGTTCTATTTAGGTGAAGACAGTGGCTTGCGGGTGGTGTTGAGTATCGTGTCTAAATAGCACCCATATTTGTTTCTGTCTTTTAGTGTTATGGACTATCCAACTTTTCCAACAAGTCATGCGACTCATGCCCACCATGGCGACGCCTCGGCGCACAGCTCCTCCTCAGCACACGACAAAAAAAATAAAATACATGGCACAAGTCGACCGTTTGGCACAGCCACATGGTACTAGTGGTGTGCACTGCGCATCACCTTGCACGGCATGTCATACGACGTGGACTGGATGGTACCACCACACACAGGCCCCCCCCCCCCCCCCCCCCCCCCCCCCAAAAAAAAAAAAAAAAACTCAGGCATAACCCCGCCCTTGGCATGGCTATGGCACCATGTGGACTGGGCGGTATTATATGGCCTCCGCTATGCTAGGCGGGTTGGATGGTGCCATGTGGGGCAGGCCATACTGTGTGGACTGGATGGTACTCAGCGGAACAGATGATACAGCATGGACTGGGCAGTACTATGGCAGGGTGGTATTGTGTGGCCCGGATGATACTAAGTAGGCGGGGTGGCAATATGTCATGTAGGTCGTACCATATGAAGCGGGTGGTACTACACGTGTAGTACCCTGATCCTCCCTGTAGCACCCTGGTTCTGGACAGCTCCTCCCTCTGGCAGGCCTGCGTCTCCTCCAGTGTAGTTCTTTGGAGGGAATTATCGCTTCCCAGTTTGAACAGGCTTGAACTATCACTGGCCCTTTCGCGTCGCAGCACACCACATTGCCAACGTCCCCTTCGCGGCCTTGAATTGCCATCCAGTCTAACTCTTGCAAGGTGGGGCCCTTACGGAGGGTTTTCCACCAGCCTAGGGGGACTCATTCTGTTATGGCCTCGAGTGCGGCATCAGGTCTATGGCAGTAGCATAGCTTTTCCCTTAGCTGGTCCTGGCCTATCCAGTCTCTCCTGACCGGGTCCCAAATGTCCCATATCCTGAGCACCCCCTGTTTGACCCAACCTTGCCAAGGGGGATCCATGCAGTGGAGGACTTGGCCCTTTGAGTCCACTATCCATCTGTTCCCAAAAAGGGGCTGTCGGGCTACCTCTTCCCATCTCCCTGGCGGGGTTTCGTTCGGGAGGGAGAGATTGCACCTCGTTTTGATGAGCGACGGCCAGAAAGGATTATTGCGTAGGTCCTCCCTCGCCTCCTTTCTTTGTGAGTGGAGGGGGGCACTTCTGCTGCTGAAGTCGTCATCTTGGTATGGGCCATCCTCTGTTTTCCATCCATGTTAATGGGTCAATGTCTGCTGGCGTTTGGGGGGCCAGCCTAGATATATATGCTCTAAGGCTAGCCCCCTCCACGGGACCTGGGGGGTGAACAACAGGCGTCTGAGCCATTGTAAAGCTAGTGTCTTAGTTTGTGTTGTTGGGCAGATGATGCCCAAGTCTCCTTTCGTTTGGGATCGATTATTGATTGCCATGCTACCTTGCTGATCGCGTTGTGGCTTTCGTGGTTGCCTCACCATAGAAAAACGGCTAGCCGGCGCTGAAGGGGGCGGAGGGCAGCTTTGTCCAGCATCGAAGTTAGATGCCCAAAGGAGTAATTGTTCGTCTAGTTCCATTGGGATGTGCACTCTTTTGTTTACTAATAGTGACGTGTATGTTAGTCGTGTACCATTCCGCCACAGGGGCTGGGTGTCTGAATGATTTGGTCTTTTTTTTTTCTTTTTTCTTCGTAAGTTTTTTCCTTGTAAATTACACATTGTTCATCCTCCGAGACATCCATTAAAATTTTTGAACCATACAGAGAAGATAAGCATGGCCCCTGTGCAAGAGTAACACACATATATCGAGAAATGATCCAAACAAAAAGAAAAGGAGGATTTTTTTCCCTGATTCCTAGAATTTTGCAAATTGCAATTGTACTCTGATTCGTGAAATTTCGTACCCTGGAAAAGAACTTGGGTAGATTTAGAAAAAGGAGGATTTTTTCCTGATTCCTAGAATGCATGCTTTGTTCTTTTGAAATGAATGGACAAAGAAATCCAGAGAATCCGTGGGACGAGGAAGTCGATGCGTCCTCCCGAAGGACATCTCGATCTCAGTCAGCGGTCCCTAGGCCACTAACACGGCGCCAACACAAATCGATGTCTGAGCTTGGAAAGAAGGACCCACCAGCTTTAGTAGCAAGGATTGATCGGTCCAGGAGCCATACTGACGCCCACCCTAGAAACAGGGGAGATTCTGCTTCTGGCCCAGCAGATGTGAACACCGACGACGATTTGGCTTCACCAGAAGAAGCTATTGCCGTCGGTGACAGAGATAGGCAAAATGCAAGGAAGAGAGTCTCTATGGCATCATCTGTAAGCGAGGGAGAAAGTG